GACAAACAGCTGATCAGCTGTTTGTCGGCTCAGCGTGGCAGCCATGTAAATTTAAATGAAGCGGCGATTATTTAAATTGCCGCTTCGTTTTCCTATGTCTAGTAGCCTAATCTACATGCCTCTGGCGACAGAGGCATGTACTCTAGACGTACCCTCGCTCTGCTCTCTTTTTCTTGATCAGCTTCAAGTGATTTTATTAGGACTCTTAAGGGAACTATTTAAAATGATTTCCTTTGCTATTCCTTACAGTAATACCCGGAATCAGGAAGAGATTGCCAGGTCTGGGGGAGGGGAGAAGGATTGAGAAACCAGTTACCTCCTTCCCCCTCTGCTGGAGGGGGACATTGAACTAAGTTGCTGAGTCAGACCAGGAATCTGATGTGTGGTAAGGATGCAGGCACCCACAGGAACATTGCTTGTGCTGGAGGCTGGCTGGCCTTGTTTATCTTAATCCACAGCTTCACTGAGCCTGAAGTTTAAATCCTACAACCCATTTGGGAAGGTGGAGTGAATTTTTACTGTCCTGCTCTGGCCAGGATGAGAGAAGGTCTCTTAGGCTGTGTCTACACAGCAGCATTATTTCGGAATAACGTCACATAGTCCGCGTCTACACACAAGCAGTATGTCAAAATAATGTTGAGCTGGAGGGCTGCTCGCTCCAACTCCTCATTGTACAAGGAATAAAGGAAGTTGAGGAAGAGTGCTCTGTTTCGAAATAACTGCTATGTAGACAGCGCTAAAAGTTGAAATAAGCTATTTCGACTTAAGCTACGCAATTAGTGTAGGTCAAGTTCCGTAGCTCATTTTGAGTTTAGCCCTGCTGTGCAGATGTGCCCCAGATCTGAGCAGTGAATCCATCTCATCTGGTATTTTACCTCCCTGCTTCAGAACAGATCAGTGATCAACTGGGCTAATAAATTCCCCTTGTTACAATATACTAAACCCATGGGCTGTGTCTACACCGGCATGATTTTGTGCAAATACTTTTAACAGAAGAGTTTTTCCGTTAAAAGTATTTGTGCAAGAGAGTGTCTATACTGGCACGTGCCTTTGCGCAAAAGATTTGCTTTTGCGCAAACGTATCTGTGCCAGTGTAGACGCTCTCTTGCGCAAGAAAGCTCCGATGGCCATTTTAGCCATGGGGCTTTCTTGCGCAAGAAATTGTTGTTACCTGTCTACACTGGCCTCTTGCGCAAGAATACTTATCCCTGAGTGGGAGCATCAGAGTATTTGCACAAGAAGCACTGATTTTGTACATTACAACGTCAGTGTTCTTCCACAAATACTCGCAGCCAGTGTAGACAGGCAGGAAGATTTTGCGCAAAAGCAGCCGCTTTTGTGCAAAACTCTAGTTTAGCATCCTGTCTCTTGTGGTTGCTGGTATTCTCCCTTCCATGATTCATCTAATTGTGTAATACCTTAGCAAGGAGGTTTGGGTGATAATGTTTCCTGATCCCAAAGGGTGATCAGCTTTCGCTGAAGTGTAAGAGCCAGTGGACCTGAGGCTACGTCTAGACTGCAAGCCTCTTTCGAAAGAGGCTTTTTTTGAAAGATACTTTGAAAAAGCCTCTTTCAAAAAA